TTGACGTAACGATAGCATTCGTAAACATGTATACACAAAGAGATCACTATCAATCAGGCCATCAGACACCGAATATATCTCTAGCTAAGACATCCACTACTCTTATTTGCTACTTGCTCTCTCCATGAGGCTAATCCTTGCCTCTACACTTGCATGAGGCTAATCCCTACCTCCCTACTTGTATGAGTCTAATCCTTGACTCCATGTTTTCATGAGTCTAATCCTGACTCCATACTTGCAAGAGGCTAATCCCTGCCTCCCTACTTGCATGAGTCTAATCCTGACTCCATACTTGCAAGAGGCTAATCCCTGCCTCCCTACTTGCATGAGTCTAATCCTTGACTCTATGTNTTTGCATGAGTTTAATCCCTGACTCCATACTTACATGAGGCTAATCCTTGCCTCCCTACTTGCATGAGTCTAATCCTTTACTCCATGTTTGCATGAGTCTAATCCCTGACTCCACACTTGCATGAGGCTAATCCCCGCCTCCCTATTTGCATGAGTCTAATCCATGACTCCATGTTTGCATGAGTCTAATCATTGACTCCACACTTGCATGAGGCTAATCCCTGCCTCCTACTTGCATGAGTCTAATCCCAGATTCCATACTTGCATGAGGCTAATCCCTGCCTCCCTACTTGCATGAGGCTAATCCCTGCCTCCCTACTTGCATGAGTCTAATCCCTGACTCTATACTTGCATGAGGCTAATCCCTGCCTCCCTACTTGCATGAGTCTAATCCTTGACTCCATACCCGCATGAGGCTAATCCATTCCTCCCTACTTGCATGTGTCTAATCCCTGACTCCATACTTGCATGAGGCTAATCCTTGACTCCATACATGCATGAGGCTAATCCCTACCTCCCTACTTGCAGGAGTTTAACCCTTGACTCCATACCCGCATGAGGCTAATCCCTACCTCCCTACTTGCATGAGTCTAATCCTTTGCTCCATACCTGCATGAGGCTAATCCCTGCCTCGATATTTTCATGAGTCTTATCCTTGGCTCCATACCTACATGAGGCTAATCTCTGCCTAGATATTTGCATGAGGTTGATCCTTGCCTCCCCATTTACATGGGACTAAGCACTGTCCCCTTTGCGCACAAATTTTGCTCTATTTCCAGCCCTATCTATTTGCTCTTATGTCGAGCTAAGCTCTGCTTAAGCCTTGTCTTGTTAACATTATTACTGCATATCACGGGCTGAATATTGCCAATCTATCTGAGGCATCATAGTCTAAAGGCATCATCCTTATAGCCGGAAGACACAATGCCATGACCTGAGGATCTCTCAATTTACATGCCATTATTCAAAGGCGTCATGGTTCGGAGGCACCATCTTCATGGCCCGAAAACATCATTTCATGGCTTGCAAATTTCTCACCGAATAATTCATGGCCCAGGACGTCATGGTCTGAGGACGTCATCTTTAACCGTCCGAAGACAACCTTCATGGTCCAAAGGGAATTTGCATCATGTTTAAATTTTTGCATACATGTTTGTAGCAACCGCTATCCTAGAAAGAGCGATCTCACTCCAGTTCCCTCCAATAGTCCCGAGCCTTAACCACTCACCGTAGCCGCTTCCGCATCGCGTGTCCGTTCTTGTAATAATTTCATCGGCGAAATTTCGCAGATGAATCCAGCACTACACATGGCCTAATTCCTGTAAAACCAAGGATATGTAGGCAACTCGAAGACCGGATTCTAGCCTCTGTCTTTCAAAATATCCGCACAATCAAAATTGGTCATCATTTCTTTACCCGAAAACTCTTTCGTCCTTCCCGGGTAAAGAGGGGTAGTTGTTGATACCCAATTTTTCCTTATACATTTTTAATGTGCATAAATACTTTCAAAATAGCATACACATGCATATATAAGCATGCACAAGGTTTTTATAATTTTTCTATAATTTTAAAGATTTTAAATTAATTTATTTCCTCCCTTTTTAGTCATAAAATCCCCAATAGTTATCCCTCAAATTATTGTCGTGGTAATTTAGTCATTTAAATTCAATATTTATGCCAAAATATTGTTAAAATAGTTTTAGTACATTTTTATTGCATTTTGTATTTTTAAAGCTAATTTGCATATAATTGCAATATTAGCCTTATTAATGTATAATTACATTTATATGCATAAAATTGATTTTCTATATTTTTAAAATGTTAAATATGTATTTTAAATCATTTTAATACACAAAATTATTTTCTAGGAATTATTTGTTATCTATTAAAAATTATATTGGGAGAAATTGGCTATTTAAAATCTAGCCAAATTGCATTTCAATTTTAGCCTCAATAGAACCCAATACCCCAGCCTAATTTAGGATTACCTAATTACCCCTACCCGACCCAAAACCTATCAAATCCATGCCGACTTGCATCTAGGGTTCGTCACTTGTCTGTTCTTGGCTACTCAGGTGTGATTTCGAGCAAAATCATGTTATATTTGTTACGATCCTTGGGATTCTTAACATGTTCTTTCATCTCTATATGAGTTTCTTATGAACCCCTAATTTCTGCCTATATCTCCTAGATCTATACAGATCTAGGGCGATTTGAGTTTGTTTCTTTAATGTTTTACACTGTCCTTAGAACTCTATTACAAGAAACATTGATTTCAAGTGTTTTTCACCTTCTTCTAAAAATTAGGGTTTCAGAAATTCTTTTATAATTTTGTTTAACTGATTCTTTGTGTTTAAACTTCTATTTCTTGCATATTTTTGACTGATTCTATGATTTTACTACCTCTTCTACTCATCTATGTTGAAAGCCCTAATTTTCTAGGTTTCTTCGTTTGGTTCTATGTATCATCATGACTGATCATTTCTTGTTTGAGTTTCTATGACTATCTTGCCTCGAATATGTTCCTATTGAGTTTTTAGCCTAACTTATATCACTTCTATGTGCTTGTGTTTGTCTTGACTGTTCAAGACTTGCCTCTTTCTATCAGTGTTGTTTCACCTTCGTGTTTGCTATGTCTAGTTATTCTTATCTTACTCTATTTATATGCTGAACACTGAATCATGATTTTCTCTTTGATTGATTCTGGATTCCCTATTTCATGGTTTGATTGGAAGACCTTCTTTTAAACCTTCGATTCCTACCCTTTCTATTCAAATTGATTGATTTGCCTACCTTGTTTGCTTTGGTATTTTATTCCTACTGATTATCTCCTTAATTAAAGTTTTCTAAACTTAGCCCTAATTGTTTACCCTATACTTACTGAATTTGAAATCTTTCCTTATTGGTCATACATTGATGTCTTTCCTTATTTGTTACTTGTTCTTATCGTTTGAACTGATTCCCTTAAGTTAAGGAAGTACTTGTACTGATTTTGCTCTAATTGGTTCTGAGTTCCATAATTACTATACTATTGTGATTCTTGCCTTATTTTACCTAGTTTCGAACTACTATATATACATACTCTCCCATTAACACAAACACACGAACACATTAGTTCAAAAACTCTCTCTTTCACACTAAAAGCTTTCTGCTCTCTTTTGTGTTACATACTACTGTCTAAATTCAGCTCGCTACAAGCCAAGGCTAACTATTGGGTTCTCTTTCACCTTGTGTTTACTATCTCTATACTGGTATGCTCTGATTTCAATTCAAGCCCCAAAAACAATATATTTCTTTACTACTTTAGTTTATCATGTTCCTGATTTGTTTTTACCTATGGTTTTGCTATTCAACATGTAATTTATCTCTTTGCTTCAGCATGCTCTCATGAACTAGTAACTTGACTCTACTTTGTTTAATGCTTGTCTACTAGTTCTAGTATGCACTTATTGGGCTATTGCCCCAAGTTGTTTTGATATTATGCTCAGCCATGTTTAGTATAAAATCATATACTCTACTATCTCCCAACTCCCATGAATCCCTTTAGGCATCTCTGGTTTTGTAACTGTGTTCTAACTAACACTCCTAAAACTATGCCTTACTACCTACAATAAGTGCAAAGGACTTCTGCCGGTTATGTGTTCATCATACCTACGTATTTGTCCCCAACCCCAATTGACCCTGTATGGAGATTTGTTCCTTGAGTGTTTGCTGAACTTGCTTGACTGACCTGTTGTTTGTTTAGTTACATGACTGTTCTCAAAAGCTATTTTACTAAACAACCCTCTTATTTATAAAACTATTTAAGTAAATCTCTTTTAACACATTGTTTTCCTACTGAAACATTTCAAACTGTGTCAAGCACTCTCACTCTACTCCTAAGTCACTAGGTTTTGCCCCCTTTAGTGTGTATACTGCCTTGGGATCCCCTGAAGAACCCTCTGAACTCTGGCATACTGAGGTTGGCCCTTCCACACTGCACTTACTCAATTTGGTTGCAAAGTCTAGGTGTAAACACTGTCCGGGATCCTTGAGATCCTTAGGGAACTCTGACGCATCTAGACAATGATGTTGTTTATGAAATTGGCATTTGAGGCTATTGGAGGTTTTGGAAAATTATTCGGGCCTGCTTCAGGCTCCCTATAGTGTAACTTCTTCTTTTTTCTTTTTATATATGTAATTCATTCATTTGGTTTGTAATAATTTGTAAACGAATATTGGGGTGAATAGTGAAAAAGGTGGGTAGTTACATATTTGTGGGGTAAAAGGGTAGAAAACATGCCTATAGGATTTTATATTTGTTATATTTGTCTTACCATGTTAGAAATCATGCCTATAGGTCTCAAGTGGTTCCAATAATAGAAATCATTCTTATAGGTCTTAAAATCAACTTCATAAGTAGATATCATGCCTATAAGATATGATCCAGTTTAACTTCTGCTATAACGGGTATTTACATGTGTTTTCATTTGTTATCATGCCTACAAGTTTCTAACATCAGCTCTTAACAATTAGATACCATGCCTATAGGGAACAACGTCAGAAATTCTGCCTATAGATCTAAAATTAGTTTAGTTTAAATAAGTTAATCAAGTTCATGATTAGTTTACTTCGAAACTGGTCTAATTAGTGGTTTGTTTTTCCTGAAATCAATTCTTTCGAGTATTGGCCTGATTCACTATTAGAAAGAANGCCGCTAGATTACTACACACATTTATAGAACACGATCTAACATACATATGGCCATCCTGGTCCTTGCAATAGGCATCCATTGCAAAGATAGGAGGTGATACAAAATAACAAGTTTTATTATAATTATGAGACATTAGAGCTTCTTTTGCCAACTGATGTGCTACCATGTTCCCTTCACGAAAGCTATGGTTCATTGTGATCTTCCCTTGTTGCGTTGCCTTATCCATTAACCACCTGCATTCATGAATTAAATCATTATAAGTAGGATAATCCTCATAAAGGAAGCGAATGACCTCCGTGGTATCTGTTTTAACTTCAACTGGGAATATGTTTTCCTTGATAATTATTTGAAGTGCATGCCATAGTGCTTGGAGTTCAGCTTGGTTAGGTGATGTTGTGGGATACTTGTCGTAGTAGCCCAGTATCCATTCGCCTTTGTTGTTTCGTATTATTCCACTGACACCTTCATGTAAACAGCTATTGTTGAAGGCTCCATCAAGATTGAGCTTGTACCAACTCCTTGCAGGAGCCTGCCACTTTACTTTAAGCTTGACTTTTATATTATTAGTAGTAGACTTGGATGTTAGCAAGTGATATTCCAATGTTTGGTTAATAATGTTGGTCGTGTTAATATGGTTGCTAGTATTGTTCACGTTGTTTTCATTTCTGTTTCTCCAAATCGCCCATAATACAAATGGAAAAGCTTCTTCCCATGTGATGAATTTGTTGGTTATCTTAGGATTCCTAGTATGTAAAAAATCTATCCAGTGTACATTATCCAATTGATTGTCTATGGCCAGCCCCATGGTTTGCCTCACTCTTATAAACGATCACCTTCATTAATAATGTCTTGGATCGAATATTAGTAATTTATTTTTAGCATTTGCTCCTCCGTACATGAACGTCTTGGTATATTATTCTACCCAGATATGATTGTTCCTTATAATATATATTATATCATGAAGCTAAGGCATTGACTTAAATTTTCATATATCCCTAAGAGATAAGAAGAAGTATTTAAGATGAAGTTTACTGATAAGGTGTCCGGAGAAATCAAGGATCAATATGAACAAATTAAGGTAATAGAATCAACCATACAATGGTCAACCATGTTTTGAACAAAATCAAATCCGAAAGGCTTTACATATCATCAGTGAATGATAAGTCATCTCCTTTTGGATAAATACAACGAGTATTTCATTTGCTGCTCAATAATTCATAGTATTAATTAAAGATAGCAGCTTCGACATGATATATATCATAAGTTAGCTACAAGCTTTCAATTTTGGGTAGCTTGTTCATAGCCTACTCATTCTTAGTTAAGAATTATTTGCTAAGACAAAGGAATATCCATAATTAGAGGAAACTGTTGGTAGACAGTTGAATACCAAGTTGCTTGCTCCCAATGATGTCTATTTATAGAAGGGAATAGTAACACTTCAATGGAGCTAAGGAATAGTGAGCAAATATTTTTGGAGACTACTTGAAAATTGTAGTTAAAAAGCTTTGAATATAAGAACTAAAGAAAAGAAATATTACGTACCACTATCAGATAAATTTAATGAAGAGGTTGGAATATACAATGAATATATAGGTTTCTACCACCATTGCCCTTCCATGGAAATCTTACAAATTTCAATATATGGAAAAAAAGTCGATTTGACTAATACCATATCTTAACTCTAAATTAGTCGGGGTCGATCATATGAATTCTTTGTATCCAAAATATTGAAATGATTCATTATAGTTAGACAAAGCAATTTTGAAGGACCTTAGACTTGTTAGTGAATGTTAGGCTTGATGATAGTGGCCAGGATTGTACTCGTCTAATACTATAATTTGCACACTTTTACCCATCCTCAGCAATGCCAAATAACATAGAGATAAATCCAAAGTTCCTTGCAAATGTTGTATGGGTCAAAATCTGGCCACAGGACGGTCGTTCTTAAGGATAAGGGGCCGACTGAGCCATAACCACGCCCACACGACATAATAATAAAAAGTACCTCGGCGGCCGAGGTCAAATCGCCGAAAAGCTTATATCGCATAACGAGCGTGAAGTTTAGGCGAGCGATAAGAGGCACGGTCATGAAAAAGTACGCCAGTTAAAGATCATTGAATAAAAGAGAAAATTGCTAATATATATAGGGGAAGTTGAGTC